CAGATTATCTCAAGGTGGAAAATATTTTGTTCCTTATGACTGTGGTATGTGAAGGGCTTAGTCATATTGGAAGTGGGGCAGAAATGTCATTTTTTGCTTCTACACCTCCTAAATTGTTTTTCTGCTTCCAGTACCTACTCATTTCAATCCATTTTTACACCCATTCAGAGTCATCTTTCTAAATTCATCTGACAGTATCCCTTCCCTCTGTGAGAATTTCAGCTAACTCTGTGTAGTTCCCATGAGAAAGTCAAAGCTCCTTAGCTAAAGACCAACAAAATCTGTCCTTTATCCATTTTTCCTTGGTCATCTTCTGCTACTTCTCACTTTTCATCCTATTCCGTCTTGGTGCAACCCCCTGTTACTCCACTAACACTGATGTTGTTGCTGTCACAATGATGTTTATTTGTGAAGTCCAATAGTTATTTTATGTTCTTATAAGACTCTTTTAATGCACCTGTCAGCATCAATCATCCTTCATCCTTCAAACCTCCTATTCCAATGTTTTCCCTAATTCCATTGCCCTGGCTTTCCTTTTACCTATCTTTTTTTTTTTAAAGGACATACTTAAAAAAAATCTATTTATTTATTTATAACTGCATTGGGTCTTCGTTGCTGCACATGGGCTTTCTCTAGTTGCGGCGAGCGGGGGCTGCTTTTCGTTGCTGTGCGGAGGCTTCTCATTACAGTGGCTTCTCTTGTTGCGGAGCACAGGCTCTAGGTGTGCGAGCTTTGGTAGTTGTGGCACATGGGCTCAGTAGTTGTGGCATCCGGGCTTAGTTGTTCCACAGCATGTGGGATCTTCCTGGACCAGTGCTCAAACCTGTGTCCCCTGCATTGGCAGTCAGATTCTTAATCACTGCACCACCAGGGAAGTCCCTATCATTTTAAGTTTGATCCCAGTCATAGAATTTACGTATTGGTCTTCCACTAGTCCCTTATGTATCGGTGTTTCCCAGGTTTCATTTCCTGGCCCTGTTCTTCATTCTGTATAATTCCCCTGGATGATCTTACCCATTTTCGTGGTTTTGAAGTGATCCCCAGATCTAAGTGTCCAGCCCAGGTCTCCAGTGACCTGGTGGACATTACGTTATGGAAATCCTACAAGCACCTTAAGCTCAAACTCGACTGGACACATGACCCGACCTTACAACCCCTTTTTCTCCTTTTTAGTTCCCAGCTCACTGGGCAGAAGCATCCCTCACCCAGTCATCCAGACCGAAGCCTTGGAACTTCATCACTTCTCTTTCTCCTCTTTCATTCCGTATCAAGCACTGAGTCCTGACAGTTTTCCTCTCTTAATATTTTTAAAATATATTCCCTCCTCCCTATCTCCACAGCTACTGTCTTAGTTCAGACACCCATCATCTGTTCCCTTTATAGCCTCGTAATTGGACTCTGTTCTCAGTCTCACCTTCCTTAAGCCATCCTCCTAAAATCCCCTCCCACCAAATCTATTTTAAACTCAACTCTGATGATGTCACTTCCTACCCCATGTAAACAATGAGAGATTGTTGGAGGTAATTTTTCACTTATATTGACTCTGTAAGATTTTGAGTTTTGAGTTTTGTTTGAAAAAATCTTCTGACCTATATAATAGGTCCAACTTGCCTACCATATTGCACAAGAATATTGAACATACCCCTTGCTTTGCCTCTGGTCATATAACGGTTTAGAATGTGCTCCTGGAAATTTGAGCTCCACCAGCCTAAAATTGCTAGGGTTCATTGTACACAATATTTTGTTTCTTTCCATTGTGCCTTGGTTTTCATTATTCCATTCCTTTGGAATATTTATATTCTTTATCTGTCAGCAGTAGCAAGCCCTGTGCTCGCTCTGGCTCTCTCTTAGTCATACATTAACTCTTAGCCCAGCATCATTTCAAGAAGTCTTCCTAGACAGCCCCCCCACCACCAGGGTACAATACACACACTCTAATTTGGTGTTTCATAGCACTGTTATGCTTTTCTTTTTCATAACTTTCTCAAAATTGTATTACATTTCTTGTGTCACTGATTCTCCCACTAATCTGTAAGTGAACTCATTACTGTATACCCAGTATCTAATACAGTATCTGGCTTTCAGACATTTCAGCAAATAACTATCAAAGTAAATTCTAGGGACACTAAACTCTCCACTCTACCATGGCCATTACATAATCACTCATCCTCTAGACCTTGACTCACATGTTTCCCTCTGACTCCTCCTATACTAGGTTCACCACTAGTGGACTCAACTCAGCCTTTGGACCTATGCCATCCATCTCCAGGCCTCATTCCTCCATCCCATGGCCCACTCAAACCCTTACATACCTCTGTAACAGCACTTTCTCTTGTGTAACAAAATGAGGTTTTAATGTGCATGCCTCTCAATTAGGGTATACATTAATTTTTTACACCAGGACCATGTTTTAATCAACTCAAGATCCCTATCAGGAAGAATAGTCCCAGAAATATAGTAAATGTGTAGTTGTTAAAGGGAGAATACTTTGCCCAGATGCTTTTATCATTAAAAAAAAAATGAATGAAAGGTTAAAGAGTAGAAAAACAATAGAATCAATTCTAATTCTATTTTTCATCAATTCTGATAAGAGAAAGTATTATAATTATACTATTTGGCTGTAAATTGAATTTATTTTTTAGAGAACAGCAGTGTGAATGGCAGTTTATTTTCCTGTTTTCTAATTGTTTATGAATAATATGTATTAACATTTAATTATAAACACATAGCAAATATTTCATTAAACTAAGAAACTCTAAATTACATTTATTTACATAGCTTTTTGCCTGTATTACCCATAAATTTTCATGTTAACATAAATTATTTGTTAAACCTCTCATTTTGGTTATAAAACATTGCTTTGGGATTGCAAAGCCACAATTTCATAGGGCATTTTCATCATTAAGATACTGGCTGAATCAAGTCAAAGTATAAAATAGACAAAGCTTGGTTGTTGATATCCCTGGTCTTCCCATATGGCACTCATTTTCCCCTAAGATGCCTTATAATTGCATCACCTTCCAAATAAAACTTTCTATTTCACTTATCAGGTTCACACCATGAACGCCTTAAGCAGAATATTCATATGTTCCTCCATTGTTCTACTTAAAGTACCTGCTAAGCTGTTCCTACTGCTCTTACTGGACAACAAAAATCACAGGGTGACAGCTGCAAGTAGTACAGACTAAGTAACACACCTGCATTAGGAGAATACTAATTCTGGTTTAAAACCAAGAACAAGATTATTCATTCTGGTGACCTCCAGAATCTCTTTAAATAGATAATGCATGCTGAGGAAAATAAACTTCTAGTCTTTGAGTTCCTCACCAGTTTATTTTGACAGTTGGTGATTGTCTATCTCTTGTTCACACCTAGGTATGTATATTTCCCTTTTGCCATCTCCCACACTATCCCATTTAGGCATTGCATATTCTATATCTTGACCTCTGACTTGGGTCTAACAAATCTAATTATTTGACAGTTTTGAGAAAAGAAAGAAATGTGATACCATATGCTAGTTTTTATTTAATTTCTATTTTTAATGTATTTATATCACTTATGGTATTCTTAATAGATATAAATTATAAATAGTGTATAATAAAGTCAAAATATGCATCATTTACCTAAAAGAAGAAAGTAATAATCATCTAATTCCAGGGTTACATCACACAGATCATGTAATTCTCATGGCATCCTTTGCTCTTCATGATCCTCAAAGATGCGTGTTTGAAAATGTAGCCTAGGGCTTCCCTGGTGTCGCAGTGGTTGAGAGTCCGCCTGCCGATGCAGGGGACATGGGTTCGTGCCCTGGTCTGGGAGGATCCCACATGCTGTGGAGCGGCTGGGCCCGTGAGCCATGGCCGCTGAGCCTGCGCGTCCGGAGCCTGTGCTCCGCGATGGGAGAGGCCACAACAATGAGCGGCCCACGTACTGCAAAAAACAAACAAACAAACAAAAAAACCTACATTTATTAGCTAATCGAAGTTAGATGAGTGGCCTGGCTAAAGTCTAAGAAAAGCAACATTTCCAGGACCTCCATCCGTTTCTTCTGAGCTGCCACTTGGAGCATTTATTTATATGGGTGCATTCTGTGTTTGTGTTCAATAATACAAAATTCAGAGATGCCTTGGTGTTGGATAAATTACTGAGGTATGAGAGCAAAACAGGATCAGATTAGGTAATGAAAATTTCTTTCTTCCATAGGTATTTTATCTTTTCACTTTTATCACAAGTTGTGCTTTCAATTTTTAAGTCTTTTGTTAGAGTTCAAATGAAACAAATTTTCCTGAGAGAAGTAATGGAATTGAACACTTGATGCTTCCGATGTCTATAAATGATAGTTATTCAAGGTTTAAAAGAAATGGTCTCTAAGCATAAAGCTGGCATAATTCAGTTTGTCTTCACTGTTCATTTGTTTGCTTAATTAAATTTTGGCTTTAGCAAAACCTCAATAAACAAAACTGCTTGTGGAAGATACTCCTTAATAACAAAAGCTCACAAACTGGACTCAGGTCAGATGTTAAGTTGACTTGTTCAGTCAGCGTGCAATGAAAGGAGGGCCTCTTGTTTACCTTATCAGTGTGAGAGGAATACAAGTGTGAAAGAACATTCTGGTTGCAATTCAGCATTTCAGGAACTGAAGTAATTGGGGACAGAGTTGCCAGAGAAAGGGAGACTCCTGGATTATTGCTTTTCGACAGTGTTAGATTCCACTGGAAATTGCACTTTTTGTGTGTACACACAGCACCCTCCCAGTTGAAAGAAATTATGCACATATCCTTGTGGCAAATCACGTTCTAATTAAGCCACTTCACATTTGTGAATGAGAAGTTTGTAAAAGGCTGAAATTGCTTTCTCTTTCAATTAGTAATTTTAAGAGTTTTCTCTCCTTTTCATAGATAGAGGAAATACTTAATTGCTGATGTTAGAGGATACGCTGCTATGTGAATTAATTTGATTCTGTTTTTAAAGCACTTAATGTTTTTGTCTTGCAGGCACTTTTCATGTCTGTCTTCTAAATACATGTGCCCCGGTGTCCCTGCTGTAATGAGCACCTTGCTGGCAAATATAAATGCTTTCTATGCTCACACAAGTGTTTCAACAAATGTACAGGTTTCTGCCTCAGATCGATTTGCCGCTACCAACTTTGGTGTAAGTATTATTTTTTGAACTTGAAAATTCCTCATAACTTATGGGACTTAGATTTTCAAGGAGCTTTGGATTCCAGATATTCTTAGAATCTTACTGCAGAATGTACATCTTAAGGAGTATCTCTCAGTGTAATAGACTAAAGCTTAAAGTTTATTTGAAACATGTTCAGTGAAATACCCTTTATTTGACAGTCAGTAGGTATCTTCATTAGATTAAATCTTCATATCTGGAATGGCTTTTCCAACGAAGGAAAACATACGTTTTGTGATAGAGTACTAGGATTTATAGAAAATCCTCCATGTAAGCAAATTCGGGATTAACCATGGAAGATATCATTCCCTTGTAAATGTGAGCTCAGTTGGCTTCTCTGGAGCCTTTTGGGTTCCATTTGCACTTCCTATTGGTTTCTACTGGTACTAATGGATAAAGGCATATCATCTAAGTAAAAAAAGTGTTAGGTGTATAAAGAAGCCAAGAAAACTATCTGTATCTAATTAAAACTGTCCACCTGACAATCAAATGCATCAAGAACACACTGAAAAGTAAAAATGCAGGATCCTAAGGAGTCTCAAGTATTTATCTGTTGTACCTGGTGCAGGAACCCATTCTCCATAAACATAATTTAAATTGAAATTGACAAGACTAGAAGTAGGATATAAATAAACAGTAATTCCAGTAAAGTGGTGAAGATCTAAAATGAGAATTAGTCAAGATGGGGTAGGAAGGACAAATTCCAGAGCTTTTCAGGGCCTAGAATCAACAGCACTTGCTGTCTTTAGGTATGTGAACAGTGAGAGAAAGGGAAAGATGCCTGGAAAGATTCCCAGGGTTTTCACCAGCGCATTTGGTAGGTGGTAGCTCTGTTCAATAACCCTGTGAGACAGGTAGTTCTGTACTCATTTGTTTGTGGAGGAAACTAAGATCCACTGTAGGAAGGTGATTTCCATGACACCATAGTTACTCTTTTCACTGCACTTCCAAATAGGTTCACTGAATAGATTTGTGTTATTGATCATGTTGTTAGAAATCAAATTTTGAGGTGTGTGTCATAAAGTAGAAACAAATGAGACCCAGCTAATAAAAGGGTGTAAAGCCAATAGGGGAAAAAATGTGCTGCTCTGTGTACTCTCTTCTTGTCCTTTTCATTTAAAAGAAAACACATGTGAAGTATGTGAGATGAGTTGGAATGAATTAAAAGAAAAAGTAATTGTTATTTAACGACAATCAAAATAAATACTGGTAGAAGAGAACACTATCTGGGTTAAGAGTCATGGGGTTTGAGTTTGTACTCAAATTTAACAAGTCAGTTCAGTCATTCAAGCCTCAATATCTCAATATGTTCAATGAGGGTAGAAATTATTGCCCTGACATGTTTCTCAAATTTAAGATGAAAATCAAGTGAAGTAAAAGATAAGCTAGTTTGTAAGAGTTGAAAGTACTCTAATATAAGGTATGAGGATTTCATCTCTCCTGCCTGTCCTCTACTTTTGTTAGACAGATTGGCTCTTGTGAGAGCTGAGACCAAAGAAAATTCCCTAGTCAGCTCAACAAAATACTATTATGACCATCACCAGATCATAGAATAGTTTTTGTTGTAAAAACCTCATGAAATTGTTTTGCTTTAAATATTCTGCCTGGGTATACGGTAGAGAATAAGCCAACCTGTGGAACACTGAGCCTTTCTACCTCTGAGAAAGAAGATGTGTTTATATGACTAATTTCCATAAAAGCTACCTGAAGGAAAATGAGATAGTATGCTCCTTTACTTCATGCTGACCCAAAGAAGAGAAGCCAGATTGATTTTACTACTTTGCAGTGTTTCAGTAGCAACATAGTTATAACAAAGTTCACTTTGTAAATCAAATAACTTATTGTAGGACAGGGTCAAAAAAGAAATCTTTCTTCAAACTACATCTTGATAACTTAGTGATTTGATGTGTAAATTTGACTAAATTTTTCTCTACCTATTGAAAATAATGCTATTTGCTCAGTCAAATATAATAAGTATAAAGCTTCCAACCTTCACTTGGCCTGAAGTTCTTATTTACCTGACTTCTGAAGTTGATACTGTCACCTGTGAATCAGGCAGGAGCACTATTATATTGGCCCCTTTTTATCTTTCCCAAAGGTGTAATCCAGACATTTTTGAATCTCAAAAAATAAACCAGTGGAAAAGCTTTCTTACCTATGAGGACTGTAAAACAAACAAATATTTAAGAAAAGGAAATCATTACTCTTTCCAATCCAAACTTTTTGTGTGCAAGTGTTATTTAAAGTCATGGTTTGGACGAAAAATGTTCAAGAATAAAGTGAAAAGAACAGAACCATTGAGTGTGGAGATGAGAGAGAAGCAAAGTTTGCTGAGGAAAATGATTAGAGAAATTGGGTAAAAATGATAAAAATCTGACGTTATTAAAGACAAGGTAAAAATATTTTAAGAAAAGAGGAGTGTATTGCATTGTCAGCTGTTGCAAAAAGTTCAAGTAAGATGGCGAAAGGAATGAGCCTGTTGGCTTTGGCAATTAGGAGGTCATTGCTAAGTGAAGCAGTTGAGGTTAAAGCCTAATTTCATAGAGATCTTCAGTGAATGGCATGTATGAAGAGCTGTGTCAATTAGGGTTCATTTATTCCCTAAAATATAATGCAGTCATTAAAAAATCAAGCTTTTAAAGAAAAGTGTATATAATTGAGCAATGCCCATTAAAAAATGACAAATGAAAATATATACATATAAAAATCTATGTATAATCTAATTCCAACATTGAACACACACACACACACACACACATATACAGGTTTAGAAACAAGCCTGAAAGAAAATGTACCAAAATGCCAATAGTGTAGCCACTTGGTGGGTTTACAGCTAATATTTTCTTGTTTTTGTTTTGTATTCATCTTTATACTAAAGTTGTACATTTTTCTATATTGTCTTTGTATTTTATAATAATGATTAAAAGAGGGAAAGTAGATGATGAAATAGAGACTAACCTGTTAAGCAACTTGAATGAGAAGGTAAGAGAGAGATTGGTCAAGAGTGAGAAGGTTTTACCATGAAAAAAAGAGATGTTACTTTTACTGTGTGGTTGGGTACGAGTTTTTATTATTTAATAAGATAAATTTTAACATATTTATAGATTGTTAGGACATGAACTAGCTGCAAGAATGAAGTTGCAAATTTATCAGATGGAGAATACGTGATATAATATCCCAGAGGAGAAAGAAGTAAATGTAGTCAAGAGGTTGGAAGGAGGGACATTCTTTGGAATAAGAAAGGACAAGTTCCTATTCTGAAATTTGAGGAAATGGTGTGTGAGTCCTTGCAGAGAATACTAAGCTTCTGATATAGGAGTGAAAAGTTGATGGAATCATACTATATTTCCCTAATCTTCTCTATGGTTGTCTACAGGACAAGAAATGCTTATATATAAGACAAAGGCTATGATAGAGATGCACAAGGTAGAGGAGGCTGGGAAAAGGGAAGGGAATAGAAAGACAAATGCTTCAGGGTCACATAAGAGGAATTCCTAGCATAAATGTGTTGTTACAACAGTTCATGTGGCTGTGAGTTTTTCTCAGAATTTCTCAGCATTTAGATTCTGATGTAGTAACATATAGCAGAAGGTTGAAGTTTCCCACACACACACAAAATAGAGATGATCGAAGGGTTAGGGAATTAGCATATAGGTGACACTATCAAAAGAAAGTTGAAGTGATTCACCATGGGATCTAGGTTTGATAAGTGGCACCATGATAGAGACAGAGATAAAGGATTTGGGTAGGAACATCATCCATGTAGTTAAGATTTCAAAGGGGGAAGCCTCAGGTCCAAGATGTATCTCTAGGAGTAGGTTGTTGAAAACTGAGTGTAAAAACAGTGGTGTACTGGAGCTAGTTTGTACCTGTTAACAGGCAGTGATTGCTGAAATTTTAGGAATATTGCAGGCTGGTTGTTGAGTACAGCCATCTTGAAACTGGAAATACTGAGAGTATTTATATCATGAAAACTGGCAAATGCTAAAAATCAAGGCTTTTTTCTTTTGGAGAGATGGTTTTGTTGCACACCCTTGAATGCAAAGATTGTTGGGAGTCAAGATTATCAAAGAACTTGATTGGATAAAACATCTCCATGGGTGTTGAAAACACCATGGGTAGAGCAAGAGTTGGAAAGGAAGAAAACTCCATGAGGTGGGGGTCAGTTTTTCAACTTTGAAGAAAAGTCTTTAGGGAACTTATTCAGTTAGTTATCTTAAGACACAAATAGAAAATTATTAGTAAAATTGATGTTTATCTAGCTCAATTTTTTCTTGAGTATAGATACCCTCTGACATAGCCAGTGCCCTGCAAAAACAAATATGCTAATAAATATTTCCTTTTCATTACAGGTATTCTTTTATTTGGTTGTTTGTTCATTCAAGACATTTATGTGATACCTCATTTAAGGCACTATGGCAGGTAGTAGAGGGACTGAAAGATAAATGTTTACCTCTGTTCTCTGGGTCTTATACTCTAATAGGATAGTCACCTAATCATGTGTAACAATAACCATAAATCACTCCCCAAATGGGATAAGTGTCAAAGGAGTTCATACTTGTAAATTTGCTTTGAGATTGAGGAGGAGAAAGTGATGGATACTCTTCAGAGGCTCATGGAAGCTTGCCAAAAGGAACAGTGCTTTTAGGAATGAGTAGTATTTTTCAAAGTCTAAGAAGTAGAAGGAAAACTACCTTAGGTCTTGGAAGTAAAGACAAGGAGAAGATACAAAACTAAGTTCAAAGTGTGTGTAAGGTAGCCTGCCTGGTGAATAGGGCAGATAGAATAAAAGATGGAAATATAAGAGAACATTGTGTTACTGGATCGATATTAGATTGCTGAGGCCCTTTAATGCCCATTCAGATGTTTGGACTTCATTCTTAAGGCATCGTGTAGAATCTGATTGAATTTCTGATTTAGGAAGGTCACTCTGTAGAGGAAATGTTGCAGAGGGGAGAGATAGAATGTATATCAGACAGCGATTCAACTATATGGTGATGGATGGGAACTAGATTTGTGGTGGTGATTGCTTTCTAGTGTATACAGATGTCAAATTATAATACTGTTTGCCTGAGACTTATATAATAATTTTTAAAAATCAGCACTACCCCCTGATCACACAGCCATGCCCCAACATATGTGTTCCTTTTCCAAATCCCTGCGAAACCCGAACTTTCTGATAAAGTGACAGGAAATGCCTACAATCATAGAAGATGCAAAAAAAACCCCAAAACCAAAAACATGATGTCTAAAACAATTTGCAAAAAAAAAAAGAAAAAGAAAATGCTCTAAAAGTAAAAAAGGGAAGTTAGGACCTAGTGTCAAGAAGAAGCCTGTCTAAAGTTTAGTCAGACTGAGAGAAACGTTAGGCTTTCATGCTCAGTGAACAATAATATCTCAGTGCTTTTCAAGTTTGCCTATTAAGTGACTTCTTATATACTCTTTGAATTTATGTCATTTATGAATTAGTGTGTCATTGATAGCATTGTTTCAGTGACATTTTTTAATTTTATGGTATCTCTATTGGTATCAATATTAATCTCAAATCAACAAGAAATGCAAATGTATTTCCAGTATGTTCATATGATTAGCATTAATTAAATTATCAAAAACTTATCATCAAAATAGCTTACACATTAAGCTTGAAATGTTTCTGTTCTGCTTAAAGAATGACTGCTTTCTATGTGATCTGGAAAAGACTTTTTATAATTTGCTGGTTCAGGTCAGAATAATTTTATCCTCTTGTAAATTTATGAAAACCTAAAAGCAGGTTGCACATGCAGCTAGGCCTCCTCCCAGGGAAGCTGAATCAAGCAAGGACCCCGAGAGCTTAAGCATCATTAGCTTCACGTTAAATCTACTGCTGCTGTTGGAGTGAGATACCGAGAAGCAAAGAAATGGGAGAGAGAAGCTGCAGATGATGCAGAGGTTTTTACACACCTTCTTTATAAGAGCTTTTCCTTCCACGATTCCCAGTGTCCTAGGGAAACTTGCTAAGAGTGTCCTTGTGGGGTAGTAACTGCCTCCCCCTACTCAAAATCTCCCCTCCTCTCATGGGTCAAAACTGGCCTACCAACTGGTTTTGTACAGCTCATGAGCTAAGAATGGCTTTTACATTTTTAAATGGTTTTTAAAAATCAAAAGATTGTCATTTGTGATACATGAAATTTATATGAAATTCACGCTTCAGTATCCATAAGCAAAATTTTATTGGAAAACAACCATGCTCGTTTGTTTATATATTGGTTATAGAAGCTCTTGTGCTACAATGGCAGAGTTTAATAGTTGTGACAGAGACCACAGAGCTGGAAATACTTACGATCTGGCTCTTTACATACAGTTTGCTGACCCCTGGTCTAGAGTTATTCGTGTCAACTAATTAAACCTAAATACTTGATAACAGATAATGCTTAATGTTAATATTATAGATTTAGCCTCTAATAGCAGACATATGTAGTCCTTACCAAATGCAAAGAACTAAATAACGTGACAGTTTCAGATATTGTGGCATGTCCCTCGAGAAACTTTTTTTTTTTTTTTTTTTTT